GTGTTTGGAAGACAGTTCTTCCACACTGTGCACAGGCTTTTCAAAAGATACAGAAGAGGTCATTAAAGAGATTACTCATATCGGAAAAGAACTTGGCTTCGCTGAGATTGACGATGAAAATGTGCTAGAATTGCTACAAGCTCATTCAGAAGAACTAACCAATAAGGATCTTATACATTTGGACACTCAGAGAGCATATGAAGACATTGATGAATGTGAAGAAATCTTACCTACCCGCCAGCATAAGATGACGAAGAAGGAATTAGAAGAACTTTTCACGGTTATTGAAGAATTTAAGGGAAAATGTTTAGAAACAGACCCTGATGAAGGTAGAAGCCGTCAAATTTGCAGAAAAATTGATGAGGCAGTTTCTCAGTACCGCCAATTATATGAAGAATACGATGCGACAAGCCACTCTAAATAAGTTTTTCATAAAAAAATCAGATCAATAAATTTTAATTCATTGCATTTTTTCGTATTTTCTTATATACTTATACTTTGATTAAAAAATACGCAAAATAGAAATTAATTGTGAATGAGAATGAAAATTGAGGTACGAATTACACGATTTCCTATAAGTTATTATATTCGATTAGTGCGGCTCTTTTAAAGAACACACTAACCGCACTAATCGAGGGATTCCTGTACTTGTTTTAGAGATAATTAAACATTGATAAGTAGAATAAGGTCGAAATGCTAGGAAATATAAAATATTTTATAAAGTTGGTCGTTTTTAATGTAAAACCAAGAAGAAAAGTATTAGTAATGTCCATAAAATTTCAATGTGTATTTCCCTATTCAAGGCTAAAAACTTCAAAGAGAAAATTAAACTATAGGACTTAACTTTGAATAATAATTATACTCTGTATTTCCAATATTTCATTTGAAAATATTTTTTAAGAATCAAAACGCCCGTAACCTACTTAAGTAAACCGAAAAAAAAAAGAGGTTTAAGCTTATTCACAAGATAATATGTGTTCTTGAAAATAAAAGAATTTGTTTGTTTTTTGGCATCCACGCTAAGCTATGCAAGATTTCTCCGCACTAGCCATTCCTAATTTTCAAATGATAAGCTAGCGGAAAGACAACTAGTCAACACCAACTACGGCCAACTCGTTATCAACGAAAAGTGGAACTGAAAGTCACATTATAATACTGTTACGTCTCTGGTCGTTTGTTAATTACTCGTAAAAATTATTTCCGAAGAACTTCGGCGATACAAGTCCTTTCTCAAATAAAACTAGTTTATTCTTTCTCAATTCAACTTTGCAATACACTTAATTTCCACAGTCACCTTAACTAAAACACACGCTATAATTTACAACAAACGATACACGTACGTTACTTACTACCGCGCTTGACACAATTGTCCGTCTATATCTTCAATCTCTCTGTCTGCTATATCATTCCGATTAATTGTCTGGCGCACTTATATACAAGAATACAGGGCGCCTAGCAAATACTGGATTATTCGTGATGTTCCCCGATCTTTCTAGAAGTCATTACGTGTTACCAGCGACACGTGACTTCCGTTGTCGTAACAATACCTACATGGTTGAAATCGTAAAACGTTCAGAGTCGAACATTATAACCACAAGGCTCAGGTTAAAGGTATATCAGGTAAAAGGCTCAGGTATATCATTATTGTATATTATTTATCATGAACTTATTCTATTCTCCCGTGTGCAGTGCATTAAAAAAAACTGCAATTAACGCTCAGTAACTGACGAAGGTAAGCAATCTATTCATATTTTTATGTACTAATAACGATCTTATAACACCAAATTTGTTATTTTAGTTGGATACTCAAAGTTTCGCTTTACAGCTTCTTCAAGATCGTTCTGTTACGACAGCGGAAGTCACGTGACTCTAGTAACACGTCATGAACTTCTAGAAGGATCCTGTCCCTTCCTGAATGCTCGA